GGCCTCTTGGGCCCTTTTGGGCCAGCTTCGAGCCAACTTCGGCCATCTTGGTGGGTTCCTGGCACGTCTGACGCCGTCGGGAGCCGTTTTGGGGGCCTTTCTGGGCCAACGGGGGACCCTCTTGGGGCGCTCCAGGGCCGTCTTGGAGGCCATCTTGGGCGTCTTGGAGGCCATCTTGGGCGTGTTGGAGGCCTCTTGGGCCGTCTTGGGGCCCTCTAGGGGCCATCTTGGAGGCCACTTGGGCCATCAGGGGGCTCTCTTGGGGGCCTCTTGGGCGATCTTGGGGGCTTCTTGGGCCGTCTTGAGCCGTCGGAGAGCCGAAAAGGCGCAAATGCCAAAATCCTTCAAAAACCAAGGGAAAATCAATGATTTTGGCCTCTTCGGACTCTCCTGGAGGACCTCTTGGAGGCCTCTTGGGCCGTCTGGGAGGCCTCTGGGGGGCCTCTTGGGCCGTCTTGGGCCGTCTTGGACTCTCTTGGGCCGTTTTGGAGGCCGTCTTGGACCATCTCGGGCGGACTTGGAGGCCATCTTGGGCCATCTTCGCGATTTTTTGAGGATGTCCCGAGCGAAACGGCCGTTTTTGGGCACGGTGGCGGGACGGGCCGGAGCCCACTGGAGAGTTCTTTTAGAAAAAGAACCAAAACCAAAACCTGAAACGTCCAGCACGCCGTGCACCCCTGCAAGCAGGGGGCGGCGGATCTAGGGGCCTTCGGCCCATCCCGCCACCGTGCTGGGGTTGTAGGTCAGAGGCCTTCTGGATGCCTGTGAGGATCTTGGGAGGGGTCTTGTGGGGGTATCTTGGGGCCGTCTTGGGGCGGAGGGCTCAAAATGTCAGTTCGTGTTCCCCATTGTGGGCTCCTCCTGGCGACATCCTGGGGGCCTCTTGGGCCCGTTTTGGGGTGATCTTGGGCGCCTCTTGGGGCGTCTTGGAAGCTCTGAAGACCGAAAAGGTGGTACTGCGAACACCGTAGGAAAAACCATCGGATTTGGACGATTTTGGCCTCTTGGGCCGCCCTCCAGATCCTCCAAGACGGCCCGCGAGGCGCCCAAGAGGGCTCCAGGACGGTCCCCGGGGCCATCTGAAGCTATGTTGTACATGCGTGTCCCGAACAACGCGCTCGTGGCCTCTCAAAAGGTCACGCGGGGACCCACCGGTTGCGCCCAGGAGCGCCCGAGAGCGTCCAAGAGCGCCCAGAACTCCGGGTTGTGGGCCCCTTAAAGAACATTTTCAGAAATCAAAGCGGAGAATTCGAAGGGACCAGAGGAAACTCCAACTCGTGCCTCAGGGCACGGTGGCGGACTACCTACCATTCATTGAGCGAGTAACTCTACCACTGAAGAATATAGAGCATACCATTATTAAACAACACGTATAACCAAACTAATAAAAATATGACGAACATATCTTGTTGGCCTCTCAGGAAGATATTTGCTTGCCGCGAATTTGCTTTCTCATAGTCTACGGTATGCTGATGAGGTTGCTGATTGTATGTTGTTTTAAGATGTTTTCATGTACTGCCTGGCGACCTTTCTCTTCGCATTGCAGCTGCCGCATCACCGAGTCGAGCTGCGATGGTCGCGCTCCGCACTCCTCCTCCTCCACTCCGAAAGCAAAAGAAGACGAAGACGACAAACAAAGGTATCATTCATAGTAAGCCTAGTAAGACGAGTACTACTGGTGATATGCAAAATCATTGGGAAGAAACAGCGGTTAGCAGCACACTACATATATTGTATATCATATACACTACATATACTATATATGTATATGGATATGTAGTGTATATGATATACACACTCCAATGTACATGCATGTGTATATCATTTACACATATTATCATTTACACATATGCACATATATGCATACATTATGTATATATGTAGGTCTTTCTATCATAATACATTATGAATTATATTATTGCTTTGGTTTATATTTAATACTGCTACCTTGCATCTTTCATTTTGTATTATACACCTTCTATGGTATTCTATTATACTTTATGGTATTCTTTTGTTCGGTACCATCGATGATACTGTATTATACTGTCTGATGCCATATTTCACTCTGTTAGATTACACTACAATTGCATGTATCATATTTCGTTACATGCTATGAAAGTTTAGTATTTTTATCCTACGCGATCATCACACACAATATTGTATAGTACATATCATATCGTATTGTATTATATCATGTTCTAGTTTGTGATATTGCATTTTGTTACTAGATCTCATCGCATACTATTTCGTATTATGCTGTATGGTAATATATTACAGTAAACCACATAGTAGCAAGTTATATATCACGTTCTATTATAGTATTTTGTCTTACGTTGAATTGTATTATCCCATCGTCTATTGCATTACCATTTACTGTATTTTATCATTATGCTACATGGTATGCTATTTCATTGCGTACCAGTGTATCATACCATGCGCTAGTATATAATACTACCGCATCGCATCATTTTAAATATATATATATATGTTGCTTCATATTATAGCAGATCATGTCTTTGTATGTTATGGTGTATGATATATTCTATCATAGTGCCCTCATTCTGTTACTTCATGACATACTATGCTGTATAATGTATTATTTAATGTATCAGAAAGTGCCATATGACGTACTATTAGACACCATTATGCTGTACTATATAAGATCAGATGAACATTTATCCGAACCTATGATTGCATTATAGCATGTTATTACTGCATCATATCATATTATATGATCTAGTAATATATCATAATCTATCATTGTGTATCAAAGAAAGTTATAGTACATCGTATTATTTTTTGTTTTTTGTAATTAAACCTTATTGCTCTATACTCGATTATTGTATTTTCCAGCTTAGTGTATGTATGTATGTATGTATGTTTGTATGTTTGTATATATATATACATATATGTATGTAAGTATGTATGTATGCATGCATGCATGCATGCATGTATGTATGTATGTATGTATATATATATATATTGGCAAACACATCTTTCGGAGGTCCGCGCGGATCTCTTGCATCGGGGTCCGACCCCTTCATTGCGCGCAAAGCACGCCAGGCGGGTCAAGCGCCGTCCCAAGAGATCAGCACGCACCTCCGAAAGTTTACGTTGATGCTGTTTTTTTGGATGGGAAGGCGAGGCCCGTAGCTGGTCAGTGCATACTTTGTGAGCTGAGGCAAGTTGCAGCTGGACCTCCACGGGCAACTTGTGGCGATTATCAACGGGAGAGCTGGGGTGCACTCAGGGCCACGGCACTTTGCACGGGCTTGTTCGCGCCTCTTGTCTGTTGGGCCTGACGTCCCAAGGTGGGAGGGTTGGTCCCAGCGTGTGGCGGCAAGTCTGATATTGCGGCGGGAAGTGAGGTGAAAGCTCTAACCTTGGAACAGAAGGTGCGGCGTGATGCGCCTTTCTTTGGGCTATCGGGGGTAAAGTGCGAACCATCTGGACCCGCCGCTGTCGGTGGCTGGGAGGGCTATCTGGTGGCCTTGGGCTCATCCCGCCGCCGTGCCTGCGTCGCGGACGGAAAGGGGGCGCTCGGGAGGCTTCTTGGAAGCCGCCCAGGGGGTTTCCTGGGCCCCCCCTGGAGTTTTCCTGGGGGCCTCCTGGGGGCCTCCTGGGGGCCTCCTGGGAGCCTCCTGGGGGCCTCCTGGGGGCCTGCTGGCAGTGCTGCCTGGAAGGACCATCCAACGTGGTCCCGCAGGGGCGAGGTCTCCCCCAGTGCTGGGGCCTGGGGGGGGGGCGGGAGCGGAGGCCCCACACAGGGCCGGAGAAGCAAGAACTTGGCGCCCCCGCCATGCGTCGTCGTCGTCGTCGTCGTCGTCGTCGTCGTCGTCGTCGTCGTTGTCCGTCGTCGTCGTTGCCGTCGTCGTCGTCGTCGTCGTCGTCGTCGTCGTCGTCGTCGTCGTCGTCGTCTTTGTCGCCATTGTCTTGACCTTGATCGTGGTCTTGGCCGTCTTGGCCGTCTTGGCCGTCTTAGTCGTCTTGGTCGTCTTGGTCGACGTCGTCGTCGTCTTGTGGCACTGTCGTCGTCGTTGTCGTTGCCTTGGTCGACGTCGTCGCCTTGGTCTTGGTCTTGGTCGTCGTCGTCGTCGTCGTCATCGTTGTTGTCGCTCGCCGTCTTGGTCGTCGTCGGCGGATTCGTTGTCTTTTTCTTTGTCCTTTCACCAGCTCTGGCATCGTGGAGTCCCCTACCCATCAGTTGGGAAGCTGGCAGTTCTCATCAGAGGAAGCCCTCTGCGGGTTGGATTGCTGGGACGCCATGCTTGTGGAGAATCAGGAGACAGGTCCTGGAGGGAAAGGAGTCCTAGAGCTGTTTTTTGCCTTTCTCGGGGTCCCGGCGTGCGGAAACGGTTCGAGACGAAAAGGGGATCCCTGAGACGGCCCTGGTGTCCAGGACCCGCTTGCACCTGGACTCCACTCCCCTTGTTCCGAGCTTGTGGGGCCTCGGAGGCTTTGATCGGTCCGAACTGGGGGGAATCATTCTGTGGGCCCTGTCGCTCTCTTGTCGCCCTGGGTGACGCTTCTCGAGTGGTCTGGGCGGGCTTGGGTCCTGCTGGATGGGGGGTGGGATACCCCAGGGTGCAGGCGCACTTTGCCTTTGCAGTTGCAGGCTCAGGTACCGGCCGGTAACACGCCTGCGCAGCTGCCAGGGGGGCGGAGGCCCTTCGGGCGCTTCTGCGAGACACTGCGACTGTCCGATCGGTGACCGGTTGGTTCGCCACAGCGCGCAAGTACAGGTCACGTCCGCCTGCCACGCTCAGCCTCTCGTCTTTGTGCGAACTCGGCAACGAGCCGCCACGTCTTGACGGGGTTCTGTTTCGTGTGCGCCTTCGCTGGGCGAGTTTCGAGCGACCCTCGGGCAGATCTCGGTGGTGGGTAGAGTCGGAATCCTGCGGTCTGGTCTCGTGCGCGGCCCTCTGGCTTTGAAGAGCTGGAGCGCTGCAGCTGCATATCTCTGCTCCTCTCTCTTCCGTGCCGTGCTGCGCCACTGCCAGGAGGAGGACGGCGATGAGTCTCCCAGGGTCGAGGAGAGCTGGATCCAGGACTCTTCGCTCTTGTCCTGGTGGCACCGATGATACATCGCTCCCTTCTTTGTTCCTCTGTTCCTCTCGGTATCGTTTAACCGATCCCCATCCCCATCCCAATCCCCTTCGAGACCCCCACCAAATTACCACCCCAGTTGGGGATACACCCCTCGAAACCCAAAGGGGACGACCTGTATACCCATCTAGGGGGGTAAATCGGCCAGTGGGGCCCAGGCCACGCCGCTGGGGATGGAGATCGGTTAAACGATACTCATCCTCTTCTTCCATACGCCCGGTTTCACTTCTGTATTGCATCCCGTAGTTACCGACATCCATGCCCTTGGGGGTAGCCGATGTCAACATGAGGACGCTGCCCCCACCCACTTCAGTTGTCTGATTCTGAGCTCCCAAATCCCTGCTGTCTTCCGAGAAATCAACCATTCTGGTACGAATTCGCGTCTTGAAATTCAAGACGCGTCGCGTAACCCCATGAGCCCATCCAGAAACGATGCCCAGCCGAGTTGCTTTGATCAGGGATGTGCGGAAGCATGCAGTGGAATAAAGCGCTGGGTAAACCGTCATACCCCGAGAGGGGGTGATTGGAGGAAGAGGATGAGGAGGATGAGGAGGAGGAGGAGGAGGAAGAGGACCAGGGAGAGGGGGAGGGGGAGGAAGGAGAAGGGAGGAGTAGAAGGAGGACGAGGAGGATGAGGAGGAGCAGGAGGAGGAGGAGGACAGGGAGGGGGATGATGATGATGATGATGATGATGATGATGATGATGACGATGACGACGACGATGACGATGACGACGATGATGACGATGATGATGATGACGGTGATTGCGATGGTGACGCTGATGATGATGATGATGATCACGATGATGATGATGCTCCTGATGCTGATGCTGATGCTGATGATGATGACGATGACGATGACGATGCCGATGACGATGTCGATGACGGTGACGATGATGATGATGATGATGATGATGATGATGATGATGACGATGGTGATGATGAGGATGATGGTAATGATGCTGACACTGATGATGTTGGTGGTGGTGGTGATGATGATGCTAATGCTGATGCTGCTGCTGCTGATGATGATGATGCTGTTAGCTATGATGCTGATGATGAGGACGATGATGATGAAGATGACGATGATGATGATGATGATGATGATGATGATGATGATGATGGTGATGATGATGGTGATGGTGATGGTGATGGTGATGGTGATGGTGATGGTGATGGTGATGTTGATGATGACGATGATGACGATGATGATGATGATGCTGATGCTGATCATGATGAAGATGATAGTAATGCTGATGATGATGACGACGATGATTCAGATGATGCTGATGCTGATGATGATGATAATGGTATTGATGATGATGCTGCTAATGCTAGCGATGATGCTGACGATTTCTGCTGCTGCTGCTGACCATGATGATGATGATGCTGACGATAGCGATGATGCTGCTGCTGATGAAGATGCTGATGCGGCTGTTGCTTCTGATGCTGCTTTTGCTGCTGTTGATGATGAGGATGATGGTGATGATGATGATGATGATGATGCTGATGATGATGATGAGGATACTGATGATGATTAGGATGATGACGATGATGCTGATGATGTTGATAATGGTGCTGATGCTGATGCTGATGCTGATTGTGATGATGATGATGATGATGATGATGATGATGATGATGATGATGATGATGATGATGGTGATGATGATGATGATGATGATGATGATGATGATGGTGATGCTGATGATGCTGATGCCGATGCTGATGATGATGATGATGTTGATGCTGAATCTGATGCTGCTGCTGCTGACGAATATGCTGATGCTGATGCTGATGCTGCTGCTGATGCTGATGATTTTGTTACTGATGATGGTGAGGATGCTGCTGCTGCTGATGATGATGATGCTGCTGATGATGATGATGATGCTGACGCTGACGCTGATGGTGATGATGATGCTGATGATGATGATGATTCAGATGATGATGCTGATGATGATGCTGATGACGATGATGATGAAGATGACGATGATGATGATGATGATGCTGACGCTGAGGATGCTGATTCTGACGCTGCTGATGCTGGTGACGATGTCGATGCTGCTGCTGCTGCGGATGATGCTGATGCGGCTGTTGCTGTTGATGCTGCTGTTGCTGCTGTTGATGCTGATGCTGATAATGATGGTGCTTCTGCTGATGCTGATGCTGATTATGATTCGGATTATGATGCCAATGTTGATGTTGACGAGGATGATGATTTTGCTGACGACGATGCTGCTGATGATGATGCTGCTGATGATGATGCTGCTGCTGGTGATGATGATGATGATGATGCTGACGCTGGTGATGGCGATGATGATGATGATGGTCCTGATGATGCTGAGGACGATGCTGATGATGATAATGCTTATGCTGATGCTGATGGTGATGTGATGATTATGATACTGATGATGCTGAAGATGATGATGATGCTGATGATGATGCTGATGCTGGTGCCGATGATGAAGCTGATGATGATCACGCTGATGGTGCTGATGCTGATCCTGTTGATGATGAGGATGATGCTGATGATGCTCTTGACGATACCAATGCTGGTGGTGGTGATGATAATGCTGATGCTGATGCTGATGTTGATGGTGATGATGAGGATGATGCTGATGATGATGATGCTGCTCATGATGCAGACGATGCTGATGATGCCGATGATGCTGCTGCTGATGATGATGATGATGCTGAGGATGCTGATGATGACGACGATGATGATGATGCTGATGAGGCTGATGATGCTGAGGCTGATGCTGATGACGATGATGAGGATGAGGATTCGGATGAGGATGATGAGGATGATGAGGATGATGAGGATGATGATGATGCTGATGCTGTTGATGATGATGCTGATGTTGATGATGATGATGCTGATGATGGCGATCATGCGGATGATGATGATGATGATGATGATGATGATGATGATGATGATGATGATGATGATGATAATGATGATGACGATGCTGATGATGATGATGATGCTGCTGATGATGAGGATGATGATGATGATGCTGATGATGCTGACGATGCTGATGATGATGATGATGATGCTGCTGATGATAATGATGACGATGATTAGGATGTGGATGAGGAGGAGGAGGAGGAGGAGCAGGAGGAGCAGGAGGAGCAGGAGGAGCAGGAGGAGGGAGGAGGGAGGAGGAGGAGGAGGAGGAGGAGGAGGAGGAGGAGGAGGAGAGGAGGAGGAGGAGGAGAGAGGAGGAGGAGGAGGAGGAAGGAGGAGGAGGAGGAGGAGGAGGGAGAGAGGAGGAGGAGGAAGGATATGATGATTATGATGATGATGATGATGATGATGATGATGATGATGATGATGATGATGATGCTGATGATGATGCTGCTGCTGATGCTGCTGATGATGCTGATGATGCTGATGCTGATGCTGATGCTGATGCTGATGATGATGATGATGATGATGATGATGATGATGATGATGACGATGATGATGATGATGATGACGATGATGATGCTGATGATGATGATGATGATGATGATGATGATGATGCTGATGATGATGATGATGATGATGATGATGATGATGATGATGATGATGATGATGATGATGATGATGATGATGATGATGATGATGATGATGATGATGATGATGATGATGATGATGATGATGATGATGATGATGGAGAGGAGGAGGAGGAGGAGGAGGAGGAGGAGGAGGAGTAGGAGGAGGAGACTGGACAGAAATGCCAGGGGCCTCTTGGATGCTTCTCGGAGCCTCCGCGGATGTCTCTTGACAGCGTCCTGTAGGCTTCTTGGGGCGTCGTGGGGGCCTCTTGGCGGTCCTGTGTGCTTCTTGACGCGTCTTGGATGCCTCGGGGAAGCCTCTTGAAGCCTCTTGTAGGCTTCTCTTGGGAGCCTCTTGGGGAGCCTCCTGGGAGCCTCTTGTTGGCCTCTTGGGATTTTCTTCGGGGCACCTTGGGGGCATGTTGGGGGCCTCTTGGGGCCTCCTGTGCGCCTCTTGGGGCCCTTTCGAGGCACTCATGGGAGCCTCGGGGGCCATCTTGGGGCCATCTTGGCGGTGATCGATCAAAGCAATGGCGGCTTTGAGATGAGCCCCCCCCCTCCCCTTCCCCAGGAGGCGAAACGGGTCAACTCCTAAGTGAACTCAGTGATTTTGGCCTTCTCGCTGAGGTCATCTTGGACGCTCCAACGACCCGCGACCCCCCCTCCAGACCCAGGGGTAGGGGTTAGGGGGAGGGGTCAAGACACCCTTCCCTCCCGCCAGCCACAGCCAGGAGGAGGGCGGCGAGGAATCTCCGAGAGTCGAGTAGAGCTTGATCCAAGAATCTCCGCTCTTGTCCTGGTGTCATCGAGGATACATCCCACCCTCCTTTGTTCCTCTATTCCTCTTCTTCCATACGCCCGCTTTCACTTCTTTATTGCATCCCGTAGTTGCCGACATCCATGCGCTTGGGGGTCGCTGGTGTCAAAGTGAGGGCGCTGCCCCCACCCACTTCAGGTGTCTGATCCTGAGCTCCCAAATCCCTACTGTCTTCCGGTGTATCACCCATTTTGGTCCAATTCGCTGCTTGAAATTTTAGACGCTTCGTATAACGCCATGAGCCTATGCAGAAACGATACCCAGACGAATTGCCTTCATCAGGGATGTGGGGAAGCATGCCGTGTAATAAAGTGCTTGGTAATATGTCATACCCTAAGAGGGGGTGGTTGGAGGAGGTATCGGAGGAGGAGTAGGAGGAGGAGGAGGAGGAGGAGGAGGGGGACCGAGGGGGTGGAAGGAGAAGGGAGGAGGAGGAGGAGCAGGAGGAGGAGAAAGAAGAGGAGGAGGAGGAGGAGGAGGAGGAGGAGGAGGAATCGGCAGATGAAGAAGATGAGGAAGAGGAGGTGGATGAGGAGGAGGAGACCGAGCAGAACGGCCAGGGGCCTCTTGGATGCTTCTCGGAGCCTCC